TAAGAGTAGGTTAGATAAATGTCTATCAGGGATGGTCTAGATGGTATTTGGTCCTGCCATGCGGGCAGGGGACTGGACTCGATGACCTCTCGCGGTCCCTTCCAGTCCTAGAATCTATGAATCTATGAATCTGCTGCCAGCGGCTTGTCTTTTGGTTGACTCCATTTGGTGAGGATTGGATTGTAAGAACTTGGGAGAGTACCAGTACTAAAGTAAATTAAACCAGAATAACTCATAACATGTGTGCACACACACACACACATACTTCAACCCATGCCTGTAACTCCCAGGTGAGGGAAATTTTCACGACTGGTGATGAGAAATTTTTTAGTGCTTCTGAATTGTTGGCTCTGAAGAGAATTAGAAAAAGCCAGAGGACTCTGGCTCAAAAGCTGACTCAAGGGAACACAAAAGTATCATGTTGCTCTTTACTCTCCTTCTGGGGAAAGAAAAACTCCACCCTTGGCTCTCAAAATGGACTTCAAAGTGTTCTGAGGAAAAGGAGACACTTGGATACATTCACAACTAGTCCGAAGGTCCAAACATGGGACTTTGTGTACTGTACAACCGTCTAGACCTCTTTGAGAGAAGTGTTCTAATTAAGCCATTCCTCTAGACAAGAAATGGTTAATGAGCGCTCATCTAATAGGCTGCTACTATCACCATGAACTTGGTAAGCATGCTCTGAGATTATACCCTTCTAAACATGAGTTCAAAACCCTGGAGATGGGAGCTCCTGGGAGAGAGGCTCAGGTTCCTGAAGATGTAGTGCTACTGGCACCTAGGTGTAAACCTCTGGACAGACCTCAGATGCTTACTGGTCCCCTGGATAAATGTGAGTGTAATTGCCTGGGCAGATTCCGGGGTGACATACTTGCTTCAGCATTTCAAGGACAGCAGCTGATGGTTCCTGCCTGTTCTCTCTGGAATACAGACTGCAATTGCTAATACTAGAATCTTTCCAAGGATTCTAAAGTTTGGGGAAACCTGGGTTTGACATGAGGTAGAGAACTACTTGGGGGATCTAGGAACTCCATCAAATCCCCTATGGAGGTTATGAATAGAGCCCATCAACCCAAAGCCACCAGCTTCCATTGCTCTCCAAAGCTGGAAAGCTTGCTTCTGTCAGGTGCGCTAAGAACAACAGCTGGCCAGTTTGTTGGAAAGGAAGGAGCTGAGGTCCACATTCCTTTCCCCAGGAAGAATTTCCTTTAAAGGGCTGATTTTGCTGCCCATGCATACAGCACGCATGCTCCGATGCGCCTCATCATGTAGTCTCTCTGTGCAGTAATTGGCTATGATCTTTGCCACTCTGGTTCCTGTATCACATCTGTGAGCTTGCTGCTGTCCTCTCTAGAGTCCTCCCTTAGGAAGGGTTAGGATTGAGGTTGGGGGCTGGGCAGAGGGGTCAGACGCTTCGGATGGGAATGTTAATGGAATAGACATGCAGACATATATATATATATATTCCCTTCCTCCCAGTCTATATTTCTCTCCAGAAAGTTCAATTTAAGCTGTGACTGCCCTTTTCCTGCCTTTTGAAGTCAGAGAGCTCCATCCATGCATGACTTCTTTAATGAATATAAATATAGTGAAATATAAATAATACAACATGCCTGAAATAGCGTCACCCCTGAGCATTCAGGCATGAACGTCATGGAAAGAGGGGGGAAAAGGCTTTTTATCTATTTTGGCATTTTTTTGTTTTTTGAGGTTTGTTCCATTCCTTAGGAAAGTGCAACCTTTGCCATGGATGAAAATGCGCTGACGCTTTAAAAAAAAATAAAAAGGAAACTGACCCATGGATTGAAACAAAGTGGAAAGTTTTCCATTGCAGGGGTTGTCATAACACTGCAGGACAGTGCCCATAACAGTGTGGTGAGAAGCGGTTTTTATCAATACTCTCCACAGAGATCTGTGGGTTAGAGACATCTCACCCGTGCTGTGACAGCATTTTAGAAATCCCAGCAAACAATGAAACAAAGGGCAGACCAAAACAAGCTGAAAAATACACCCTAACCAAGACAGCTTGAATCAACACTGATTTGAAATGCACATGTGTCCAAACCTCTTCAGGTTGGGCTAAGCACCCCAATCGGGTATTTATGGCTTGAAGATTCATTTGAAGCTGGTTGGGGATTGGGAAATTCTAACCAGAAAGATGAAAGCAAATTAACTGGAAATGGTGAGGCTTTTTTTTTAATGTGGCCTGTGAATTTAAGGGAGCACTAGGGTTTTGGGCAGAACAAGAACTGCAAGGACATTGCTAGGTGATGGATCACTCTCTGGCTGGCTACGCTTATCCCTCAGTCTGAAGAACCCAAACAGTCAGGACAGAAAGAGTGAGAGAAGGGTTAAACAAATGCATGGCTGTTTTCCGGGGCTCCTCCTCTTTCTTCTTGTGTTTCTGCTCCATTCACACTGAGCAGGCAGAACAAGTGTGTTGTCCGAAGGCAGGGAGGCTGAGCTGGACCGGCCGAAAAATACCAATTCTGCAGTTGATGGACTGAGATCCACCTTAACAGGGGTAGCTGGAGCTAGCAGGCTGAGCGGGCTAGTGCTTAGACCAGCAGAGACAACAGCTGCCACTGAAGACAAGCTCCATCCCAGAACAACATAGGAGGATTGGGGAAGAAAATAGACACCACTCCACCAATCTCCTGCCCCAAGCAACCCTTTTCCTGCCAGCCACGTCTAACCTTTCTGGATTACAAGGGCCAAGCGCACAGAGGGCAGAATGGGTTTTCCAAAGGTTTGTTTTTCTATCCTCCCAACCAAGGGAATAAACTAGAAGAAGGAAAAGCCTGGGGCAGCCTGCATGGTGCTGAGAGGTAAGGCTGAACTGGGAATGACAGTGTCCATGCATTCTGTGTCTAGCTGCACTCACCCTGGGGAGGGTTCCTTGGAGCTGCTTGCTCAGTTAAAAGACAAACGCTGCTGCCTGGTTTTACTTAATGATTGTTTATGATTCAGTTTGTGATAAGGGAGCTGAGCTGCTGGCTCATTGTGCGGAGCGGGTCTGCAGTAGAACTCAGTGATAAGGGAGAACACTGGAGCCCCCACAACTGCAGCTGGCTGGGCTGGGGAGCACGGGAAGGGGGATTCTATTGAATTCTAACTGTGTCCATCTCAATATGCCTCAAAAGCTCACCTGGAATGAAATGGGTGCTGTTGGCCAGCCTGAGCATGGGCCATCATGTGGGGGTGGCAAGGGAGAAGGAGAAACGCCCCCAGTAAATCCTGCTTCCCACGGATTATGGACCTCTTTTTATCTAAGCTAAATTTTAGGCTTTTCTGTGGAAGGTAGGAATTCAGGTTTTCCTTAAAGTGTTGTTCTCCTCTTAAAAAAGGACTGTGTAAAAATAGGACCTTCTTTTTTAAACCAAACCAGTCCCCCTCCAATGGTTCTTAATTGCCTTTGCTCATTTTAGGACAAAAGTTTTCCTTCCTTTGTGCTCCTCTTTGCACTGCAGAGCCAGCACAGCTCTGAAGGAGAGAGCTGAGCGTTACTGTCTGTCTCGTGCATCAGTATCAGAATTGTCTCCTAAGCCCCAGTCTGTCCCATCGCTTGCAGGCAACAGGGTTATGAGCCATCAAGGAAAGCAAAATCCGAAGACAGTGGGGGTAGCTCAGTGTCACTGAAGGCTCTGTTTAGCCTGCAGAACCTTTATTACCGGCAGTGATATGCAAGATGGAAAGAAACCAGCTTGATTCTCAGCACCCAGGCTGAAGATGTAAGGCTAGCAGGTAGAATAAGTCTATTTTGACTTGTAAGATATGCACACTTGATAGGACTAATCGAGAGGCAAACATGCCATAGATAGTCAATATTTGGGGTGCAAACTCCCATCAGGGCCTTTGCTGAACATTCTCCTCCCAACGTGTACTTTCATTTGTGTACTTTGGTATCAGACTAAGGAGGTTACGAGGTCTGTTGGTTAGCACCAAGTCCTGGGGACCCAGAGGGTATGGAACTGAGGCCTTGTCTTCACAAGGGGAAAAGGTGTGTTCTTACTTTGAGTTAAAATGCTAGTGAAGACAAGGCAGCTTGCAGTTTTCATATGAGTTAGCGGGTCAAGTTAGAGATGAGGCTCACACATAGTCTTTAAAGGGACCTGCTAACCCATGTGGAAACTACAAGCTGCCTTGTCTACCCTTACACTTTACCATGCATTGTTAAGCCGAGTTACCTAAGTACTCGGGCTAAGTACGCACCTTTTTCTCTAGTGAAGACACAGCCACCGGCTGGGCAGTGATGTCAGGCAATCCCTTTGGCTTGCTTCTACTTAAGTGAAAAATACTGGGGCTGTTTATGTTCGAGGAGAAGCATGAGATGGGACATGACAGTATATAAAATAATGAATGGGTTGGAGGAGGCCGATTAGGAATTTGTCCTTACCTTGTCTCATAATGAAATCGAAAGATGGTAAATTCAAAACTAATAAAGAGGAACACCTTTTCACACAAGGCACAGTTACCCCATAGACCTCATTGGCACAAGATACCATTGAGCCCAAGAGCATGGCAGGATTTTAAAAAAGGATTGGACATTTACTGTGGATGCCACTGGAAGTTCTTGTTATCCACGTAGATTTTTTTTTTTTAAGTTTTGGAAGGGTTGTAAGTTTTCTTGATTCGGAGCCTGAGCCAACCTCAAATTAATGAGGATTAGGAGGAAAACTTTCATGGGGTTATGCCCTAATTGACTACAGCAGGGTCCTGTGAAGCATCCAGTACCAGAGAGCAGAGACTGGTCTACATGGACACCTGGTCTAATCCAGTCTGTTCCTATGTCAGACCGACAAAATTATTCTGTAAAAAGAGAAAAGCAGGAAGGTCAGTAGGCACTAAGGTGCTGTGTGCGCTGAGCTTTCTGACAGTGCTGTGAGGTTAGCCACACTGACCCTCCTCTCCCTGCTGTTCATTGGGTTCCTTAGCCCACAGGGGGTAGGTGTGCACCTGGGAACCTTAGACCTATAGTCAGACCAGGGTTGGCCCTAGCAGTGGAAAGCAGTGCTGCTGTGGGGTGTGTGTGGGGGGAGAGGACGTACGGGTATTTTTACAGGTGACTTCAATGGCATTGGGCAGGTCTGTGTTTATTGTGTGTCACCAAGTCTGATATCAATTGTGCTCTGTTTAAGTAAAAATGCCTTTTTCTGAACTGTCAGCCCTGCAAATTCCCTGTAAGCTGATGGGCCGATGCACCAGTTGGGGCTGGTAAGTGCAGCCCCCACTCTGGTTCAGTTTGAGTCTTGTGTCTTAGTGCAACACAACTCAGAACACTTGGGAACAACCACCAGAGATCTATCCAGCTTTCAGTGAGCTGGGAGGGGGGTGGAGGACAGGCCATCTAGGGAGCCCCTATGGTGCCAGATTCCCTTTGCTTTGATAGTCTACCCCCAGATCACCCATGTGACGAGCAAGGCACTTGGGCTTTGCTTGTAACCGCTTACATGCTGAGCTTGAAGGAGTGCCTTTCCGCCTCATCACACATACTCTGGGAGCTGAGAATTCCAGGTAGGATGGTGCCCACAATAAATTAATAAACAAGTATTGAAATCTGATGCACAAGCGGGGCAAAGACCCCACTAGGTCTTAGTGGCTAAATGGGCTTTTCAGTGTCTGAGGGCGTTGTCAGAATACTTTGCTTGCTTTTCTTAAAAAAAACCCATAGACAGGACGCCAGTGCTACAAGGCGGGGATCTGATATCCCAGCACATGTACGCATACTTGTGCTAGCTCTCGGTGAGCTAGGGTGAGTACACAGAGCAGCGTAGCCGTGGTGGCAGAGGGAGCAGCAGCAGCGGCATAGCTGAGCCCTGCTGAGCTCACTGGTTTCAGATAGTCTCATTTTATGGCGTCTTTGGAAAGCACACCATTCAGCGGGCACACTGTGCAGGTCTGTTTATTGTCTATGTCAGGTGGGAGCCAGGCGAACAGAGCTGCCCGTACGTTGGTCCGTCACAGTATCTGGCACTAAGCTGGAGACGGGGATGCCCGCTCTTTGTGTTTGTAATTGGAGGGTGGAGCATATGTTGGCATCTCAAGCTGGCGTGATGCACCTGTCAGACAGAAGTAACCTCACTGCTCAACAATTGTGCTGCAGGACTGGGAACTGTGGGTCACACTGAGTCTTCTGATTCACGTGTTCTTCAGAAACACAGTCTGTCAACCCCCACCCCTGGGCTAGAGGGTCTCCCCCTTATTCCCATCATAGAGTACTAACTTTTCAGGTCATTTGGCCCATTGACCATAGACCTACTTTGATTGACACCAGCAGAGGAGCTGGCCCTCAGTTTGCAAACAACACCGTTCGTTAGCACAGCATCTAAGGACGTAAATGCAGAGGGCTGCAGCGCTATGTGTGATTGTTATTCACTGAGGCTTAAACTGAGCTAGCCCCTGGTTACTCTGTGCCACTGGAGCCTCTCTGCAGCAGCCAGAGGCCACCTGGCAGCTTTTCCACATGCTCACTCGGGGCCAGGCTCATCTCTGCACTGGTGCTGGTGCCAGGACGGGGAGGAACGGGAAGCAGCTCAGGGGGGCCGGGCTCTGTTTGTGTAAATTCCGTGGCCTGTTGCAGCAGCGTCTCTTGGCCATCCTTGGGGCTCAGCACTGCTCCAGCCATGCCTCCTCCCAGTCCTGCTCAGCTTCCAATTGCAGAGAACTTGTGCCAGCAGCTGCTGCAGCGGTGTGTCTGGGACTGAGACCTGGGCTGGGCTGGGAGGGCCTCTGCCAGCCCCATGACCCATCCATGTGAGGGTTTCTCTTTCAGTGGATGAACTGAGAAAAAAGGGGCCCAGGCTTGTGTGAAGGGAAGTGTGCACAGGAAGGGATCCCACATACAGGGGTCTGGAGTGAGCTCAAGGGCATGCACAGGGCAGGTGGGTGGAAATGTCACACAACCGTGTGTAATCCTCCCCATGGACTGGGACGCAGGAGGATAGGCAAGAGGTGTCTGTCTAGTACACTGAGATATCTGCATGTCTTGTACAGTGGGCTAGCAGGTCAGCCGTTTGTAACACTGGTTTTGGGGAGGGCGAAGTTTAGCCAAATGCAGATCACGACGTAGTGCAGACACTCAAGCCTTCTTAGGTCCCCGGGTCGAGCTCCGGTTGCTAGCCCTCGCCGAATTCTGTGCCATCACATTCACTCTAGTGGTGTTACCAATGCTAGCTAGATGAGAGCTAGCATGGGTCTGCCTAGCTCAGCTGTGCTACAATCATGCCTTCATTTGCAATGCAGATATATTCTTAGAGCCAGTGAACCTATTTATCAGGTCTTCTGCCCCCTCTCCAGCACCTGCCGTATGTGCTGCAATTTGATTCTTCTCAGGGTGGGCAGCCCACGAAGGATAAAGCCGTGTTCGGGAATCCTCCCTTTGATCTATGCAGAGGTTGACAGCTTTTTAGGAGGCTGTGCGAACTTGTAGTAAAGAGAGGCAGAAGTGTGTAGTAAAAAGCATCATGAATGGATCCTAGCAACAGAGAAGGAAAAACTGCAAAGGAAGTGCATTTTCTCCCTCCGAGCCTTCGTTAATTCATGGCCGGGTTAGTGACAGGCTTCAAAATCGGTTCTCATGTAATTGCACTGAATATTTTGAGCATGACTTGACTGGGTATTGCTTGTTGGAGCGAAGAGGGGAGAGCCCAGGCAAGGTTTATACTCCACCCCTTGCCCGAGGGGCCTCTCCAGAGTAGGACATGAAAACAGATTGATTTCATGAAAGACGGGCCTTCCCGGATGGAAAATGCCATTCCTGAAGGGGACCCAGTTTGCTTCTGCATAAGAATGAGAGGTTGCAAGTAAGACTAGAGTTCCCGATGGGACA